CTACCGTGAGATCAGCGCCTAGCCCAAGCTACTTGCATCCGAAGTCCCAGAGCACGAACCTGAACATCGGTGAACAGCGTGCTTGGAATTGGTGAGAGTACTGATCTTCTTTCTTCTGTCTACTAACTGAATCCTTGAGAAAGATCCCCAAAACAAGAAAACCTCTGGAAATTCAAGAGAGGGGACTATATCTCCATTCCCTTACAGATGGAAGTGGCAAATTAATATTAAGGAGGAAAGGGATATACTAAAATTTGATTTAAAATACTACAGTCTGGATAAATTTAGGAACTAAAAAACTTTCAAGATTATACCCTAAAAAGTTTTTGATGGAATTATAAAAATAACTTTCTGATTCGAAAAAAAAACTGAAAAAAGAAATAACTGCTGACTACTGGAGAATCAGAATCTGTCATGGTTCCAATAGATGAAAGTTTTCAAAAGAACTGCGAGGCATTGTTTACCTTAAAGAATCTTTTATTCAAGAAACAACATATCGGCACTACATAATTGAAACCAAAAACTAAATTCCCCTCCCCTGGATACAAAGTAACAAAAGTGCAATTCCCTCCTCCAATAAAACAGTCATAAATCACATTCCCCAATTAGCTTGAAGCACGGGCTTTCTCCCCAGCTCTCCAGCCTGCCAAAACACTATCAGCTCCGGGCTCTGTATCCTTGGGTTCCCACAACTAAGTTATTATTGTTATGACTAGCTGGACTCTCATCCCTATTCCCCCTCCCAGCAGCAATTCTAAAAGCAATAGAGAAAATGGCTGCATTTCCATCTGTTGTCAAAGCAAGAACATCCAATGTTAGCAGCGTTGACACCTATCCAACAAAATGAATTTCAATGTGGAGAAAAGCAAAGTCTTACATTTAGGCAGGAAAACTCAAAGGTACAAATACAGATTGGGCGGGACCTGGCTTAAAAATAGTAACTGTGAGAGAGACCTTGGAGTCCTAGTAGACGATCAGTTGACTATAGCCAGCAGTGTGCAGCAGCAGCCAAAAAAGCTAATACAATCCTGGGTTGTACAAACAGAGGCATAGAATCAAGATCACACAAAGTATTATTACCGCTTTATAAAGCCTTAGTAAGACCACACCTGGAATACTGCAGCAAATTTTGGTTACCATATCACAAAAAAGATGTTGAGAGTTTGGAAAAAATTCAGAGAAGAGCAATTAAGATGATCAAAGGCCTGGACACTAACACATACGAAGAACAGCTACAGAACTTGGATTTGGCTAGTCAAAAGAAAAGAAGAAATAGGGGAGACATGATAGCAGTGTTCCAGTTTCTGAGGGGCTGCCACAGGGCAGAGGGGAGCAGGTTGTTCACCAAAGCACCAGAGGGCAGGACAAGAAACAATGGTTGGAAACTGATCAAAGAGAGAAGCAACCTGGAACTAAGGAGAAACTTCCTGACAGTGAGGACAATCAACCAGTGGAACAGCTTACCCCCAGAAATCGTGGGCACTCCATCACTGGAGATTTTTAAAAGGAGAGTGGACATTCACCTGTCTGAGACGGTGTAGGTTCTCCTGCTTGAGCAGGGGGCTGGACTAGAAGACCTCCAAGGTATTCTATTCTATTCTATTCTATTCTATTCTATTCTATTCTATTCTATATGGAGGGAAGTAAGCAGTGGGGTACCACAAGGTTCCATCTTAGGCCCAGGACTCTTCAATATCTTCATCAATGACTTAGATGAAGGAACAGAAGGGGAACTCATCAAATTTGCAGATGATACTAAGCTGGCAGGAATAGCCAATATTCCAGAAGACAAGCTCAGGATCCAAAAGGATCTTGACAGACTATCCAACAAAATGAACTTTAATGTGGAGAAAAGCAAGGTTTTACACCTGGGCAGAAAAAACCAAAGGTAAAAGTACAGATTAGGCGGAACCTGGCTCAAAAACAGTAACTGTGAGAGGGACCTTGGAGTCCTAGTGGATGATCACTTAAACATGAATTAGTGTGCAACAGCAGCCAAAAAATCTAACACAATCCTTGGTTGTATGAACAGAGATGTAGAATCAAAATCACATGAAGTGTTAGTACTGCTTTATAAAGCTTTAATAAGGCCACACCTAGAATACTGCATTCAGTTTTGGTCATATTACAAAAAAGTCATCGAGACTTTGGAAAAAGTACAAAGAAGAGCAACTGAGATAATTAAGGGCTTGGAGACAAAAACATATGAAGAATGGTTGCAGGAATTGGGTGTGGCTAGCCTAGAGAAAAGAAGGCCTAGGGGTGACATGATAGCAGTATTCCAGTATTTGAGAAGGTGTCACAAAGAAGAGGGGGGGTCAATTTATTTTCCAAAGCACCAGAGGGCAGGACAAGAAACAATGGTTGGAAATTAATCAAGGAGAGAAGCAACCTGGAATTAAGGAGAAACTTCCTAACAGGGAGGACAATTAACCAGTGGAACAGCTTGCCTTCAGACGTTGTGGGTGCTTCATCACTGGAGGTTTTTAAGAAGAGACTGGACAATCACCTCTCTGAGATGGTATAAGTTCTCCTGCTTGACCAGGGGGTTGGACTAGAAGACCTCCAAGGTCCTTCCAGCTCTAGTTTGATTCTTTTTATGAAGCTTTTCATGAGAGGTGAAAAACCACAAATCACTCTGAGAACTTTGCTAACAGGCATTATAGGAATATCGAATGGATATTAAACTAAATGTCTCCAATGTAGACACCCTGATTGATTCATACACAGCCTCTGGAAGGCCTCATGGTGGGATGGGAAGAAACAGGTTTATGTTGAACCCAACCAAGACAGAACAATTGTTTATTCAGGGAGAGCTTCTGCCAACTCTAGCATTGCTTCTGAAATGGTCAGCATCATGCCTGAAAGAGAGCCTGTCCATGGAGCCATGGCTGTCCTGGACAGACAAGTAGGTCATGGCAAGAAGGACCTTTGGGAGATCCAATTGCAGCCTGACCTGGAGTGGGAGAGTGTGGCAATAGGAACTCGTATTCTCATTGGTGCTCAGTTCGTCCAATGCTCGCTGGATGGAACTGCCTTTAAAGACTGGAAACTGGAGCTGGTACAAGACACGTGCTTTTGGCCCTAGACTCCCCAGGCACACATTCCCCTGTGCTACAAGGTCCACATCGGTTGCCAAGAGGTTTGCAGGTATAATTTTAAAGTGCTGGTTTTACCTGTGGTCCTATCTGGCTGAGGCACCTTCAGAACTGCCTACTTGAAGAACAATCAATCCACTTGATAAGACCATCTCTAGTTTGGGATGGTGGTGTCAGTAATTTCTCTCTCATCTCTGCCCATTTCTCCTTAAAACCACATGAAATTGTGCATTGAAGGGAGATGTCATTAATCTGGGGAATTAAAGGTCTTTCCACTGTAAAGTTGTCCCTGCAATTGATTATTTGGCTCTAAGAATATCAACCAGAGCCAAGAAATATGCTTCATCATTAGCTGCATCCCTCTCACCCACAAAACCAAAGCCAGGAAAGGAATGGGGGCTAATATACTAAAAATCTTGCAATGCTAACTAAAGGCTTTGAAGCTGATCTATTAATCCATCTCCAGGCATTAAGTGCAGAGAAAGTTAAAAGTCGGAAGATCAATTGTAAGCCCAGAAAATGTTTGTCAATGACAAAATCTTGATTAAGATTTTGACTTAGCTTTCTAGGATCCCAAGTAGAAAACAGCTGCGTGTCACAGGTATTGAAGCTATTCCTGCTCTTTGGGTAGAATAAATCAGAAAGCTTTTTAGAGACATGTTTACACTGCTGGCTGACTTAATTGAAATTGAGCAGGTTAACCCAATCACCCTGATAGAAATATTGATAGCTCGCTTTAGTGTCATAATGAAGGCATCAGGCTAGAAACTGAGAGATGGTGAGTTGTGTTTTGAGGGGGAATATGAAAAATATAAAATGTGATTTATAAAAATTGACTGGAGTCCTGACACATCTAACTCCTTCTTACTATAGCTAGCTGAATAAGCATTTGAGAGTTAAAATTATATCATCTGCAACTAAATTTAAAACATACATTTTATCTCCCATTTCCACCCCACAAATCTGATCGGAGTACTATTACAATGCTTGTATGGCTTAGGTTAACTAATAAAGGCGATAAAAGAGACATTTGCTTGGAACCACTTAAAAAAGAGTAATGGGATATGAATCATAGCTGTTGAGTCATATCTGAGTTTAGTCTATAAATATGTTCAATCATCTTAAGAAAACTGGTCCCAAAATTTAATATTGGTTTTAAAAATAGTATTTCCAGGGAATCAAAACCTTTACGTATATCTAAGGAATAAATGGCTAGGAAATTTTAATTTTACTAAATTGTAAAATAATTTGTTATGGTAGATACAGATCCCACAGTGTTTGTACAGAAGAGGTATGGGTTACCCTGAGATCAAAAGAGATTCTATGCCCTGTTCTAAAACGTTATTTTCTAGCAAGAATTCGCAACAGCCCTTCATTTGAATTTGAGGGAGGGGTGACCTTTTCACGTATCCCTGCAGGCCAAAGCATACCTGCCGCCCCCACCCAAGGCAAGGTGGCCCACCTGGCCGGGCCCCTCCCTACAGACCAGGCAGGGGGGCGCCAGGAGCAGCACTGGGGGAAGGGAGGGGAGGGGGCGGCCGTCCCTGCCGGGCTCCCCCAACCGAGGGCGGGGGCTCTGCGCTCCCTCCCGCCCAGGCCTGGCCGTTCCTCGGACGGGGCAGAGCTTCCGCCCGCCTCCGGGGACGGATGGGCGACTCCGGCCTCCCGCGGGGCTCTTGCCCAGCGCCCAGCTTCGGCCTCAGGCCGGACAGCCGCTGGCGCCTTCTCCGCGCCCCGAGCCCGCTCGGGCAGCCCTTCCTTTGGCGCAGAGGTCGGGCCACGGGGGCCCCCCGCCGAGCAGCTCCGCAGGCGAGGGCGACGCCCCCCGCCCGCCGCCCCCGCGGGGCTCGCCGCCCCCGCGGGGCTCGCCGCCCCCGCGGGGCTCGCCGCCCCGCCACTCACATCTGGCTGACGAGCTTCTGCCGGAAGTTGGCGCTGCGCCACTCGCTCTCCTCCATCCCGCCGCTGCCCCCGCCGCCGCCGCCGCCCGAACCAGAGCGCCTCCGCAGGCCCGACGGAAGTGGGTGGCGACGCGCGGCACGCCGGGAAATGCAGTTCCGCAGCCGCGCTTCCTGCTTCCGACCCGGCCGACTCCGCGGGCTGGGCGGCCGCTAAAGCAGGCGCGGGCGGAGCCTCCTCCGGCGCTGGGCGGGCCCCGCGGAGCCCCGTCTCCGGCTAGGTAGGGGTGGCAGGGATCCGCGGCCGGCCTCGGGGGGAGGTGGGCGTGAGCGAAGCCGGCGGCGGTCGGCCCTGCCCCCGGGGGCCGGTCCGACGTGGGGGCGGCCCCGAGCGGCGTTGTCCGGCCCTCCCACTCCGCCAGCCAGCTGCCCGGGAGGCTGAAAGGCGCCGTGGCGGAAGGAAGAGCGCTTCGCCGAGCGACCCGGCGGGTCCTTCGCGTGGAGCCCTGCCCGGGGCAGAGACCGACGGGCGAGCAGGGGCCCCGAGAAGACCCGCCGACAGGTGGGGAGCCAGAGGGGGCTGTCGGGGATCTCCGCTGGGCGAGCGCCCCCGCCCCGAATTCATGGGGGTCCCTGCTCCCCTCCCTCAGACTGGGCCCTTTCTCTCCAGTCTGGGGCCCCTTCGGCTCTCCCGCCGTCTCCCCTTGGGCTGAAGGGGGAGATCGGGTGGGGGGGCTTAGACGTTGCTACTGCTTCTCCCCCCCCCCCGAGTCGGTGCGTGGGAGGAGGCCGCTGGGCATAGCCCAGGGGAAGCCCCGGAGGGTGTTGGAGTGGGCAACATACTGACGCCCCGTGGAATGTCCAGCTGCCCAAAGCTTTGGCTGCAGATGCAGCGGGAGATGTTTGGGACTGAGCCAGGAAGAAACTGACAGCAAAGCTGGTCCAAAATTCAGGCAAGATCTTTTGGGTAAGAGCGGAGTAGTTCTGTTTCAGAAGATCATAAACCGTATCACATTTCTGAACTGCCTGTCTCCCTCAAAGAGTGTATACAAAACTTTAAAAAAAATTAAGGGGAGGCAAGAGATTAAAATTAGTTGGAAGGTGAAGGGAGGATTAACCACCCCCACCGGTGACTATTCCCCAGGGCTCCCCCTGCGAGGCCACAGAGCCATGTCTAAGCTCCTTTTTGGAAAGCCAAGAGAGTTGGGGGCTGCCTCTCCTCTGGGGGAAGAATATTCCACAGGATGGGAGCAACAGCAGAGAAGGCCCCCTTCCTAGACACCGCCAGTGGGAGTTCTTTAACTGACAGCCTGCAATATATCTTCCCTGCCTGACCAAGTGGGATCAGCTGGTGTAATTGGACAAAGGCAGTTTCATTGGTAGGCTAGGCCAATGTCAATGTAGGTTTTTGTAGGTCACAACCAACACCTTGAACTGGACCTAGAAACAAACTGGCACCCAATGCAGCTCACAGAACACAGGTACCCTTCTTTGGGTACCTAAAATTGGCTGCATGGCCATAGCTGAAACTTCCATGGGATAGCCGCATGTAGAGCATGTTGCAGTAGTCCAGGGTATTGGTGATCGAGCGGAGGTCCTCCCTATCCAGGAAAGGGCGTAATTAGTACACCACAGGAAGCTGAGCAAAGGCCCTCTTGGCCACAGCTGCCACCAACTGTTTGAGCAGGAACTATCAGTCCAGGAGGAACTGCAGGTTACGCACCAGGTCTATATGGGGTAGTGCAACCCCATCTAAGATCAAAATTGATAAATTCCTGGATGCAGAGGGGCATAGGTTTGAAGTCTTACCAAGTAGCCACTCGAAAAGGGGTAAAACCAGTACTACTATGTATAGAAATATTGTAGGCCACTTCTGCAATCAGCAGGCGGTCAGTCCAATTATCTTGTTGATAATTAATAAAGCATCTAAGGTATTGTTCCAGTACTGTTTTTATGTTCACACATACCCCCATTTGTTTGGGGGTGATGACTAGAACTAAGTCCTTGGTCGCTCCCCAATAAGTCCAGGAAGGCTTGCCAAAACTTGCATGTGAATTGTACCCCCCTATCTGAGATAATGCTCCGGGGTGCTCCATGTAGTCAGTAGATGTGATGCAGGAACGGTTTTGCCAGGCCCCAGGTAGAAGTGATTTTGACAAGGGATAAAATGCACTTGCTTGGAGAATAAATCAGTCACCACTCAAATCACTGTGTTTCCTGTGCTTTTGGGGAATTGTATGATAAAATCCATAGAAATCTCTCCAGGATGCTAACAGCTCAGCTACTGTTTGAAGAAGCCTTGGAGTTTTCCCTTGCTGCCATTTTGCTGAGGCATACACTGGATAGCTGGCAACATAGCTTTCAATGTCTTTTTTGAGGGACAGTCACCAAAACTGTCTTTTGACAAGGTGTAATGTTTTCACAAAACCAAAATGTCCTACCGTTTTTGAGTCATGACAACTCTTCAAGACCATGAGTTTCTGGCTGTTTGAAACATAGAGCTTCGCCCCCACCCAGACTAGTCTGTCTCAGAGTGAGCAAATGTTGCTATGAGTCTGGAAACATTTATCATTCTTTAGGGCTGCTTTTAGGACTGAGGTCACGTCTTTTGAAATTGGAATTTTTTCTCTTCCCTGGGCTCGAGTGGTCACCTGAGCAGCTAGTTGATGGGATGGAAGCACTGGTTTGACTACTTCCACTTTTGAGCAATTGTACTGTGGCATATGTGACTGCGTCGGCCAGGAAATTCTTTCCCCCAGGGAAGTAGCATAGGGAGATATCAAAGTGGTTAAAGTACTGTACCTTTAGGAGAGATCTTGCGAGTCCACATCTCAAAAGGTATTTTACTCCCTTCTAGAAAATTCCTCCAGGACAGGAGCGCCCATCTCACGGTGTATGCTTCTTCTGCGCATACCACCCCTCATTGCTGAGTCTCAGAAAGTTTTTGGGAGGTGTAAGCACAGGGCTGCAGCTGCCCACGTTCATTTTCCTGCAGCAGGGCTGCTCCAACAGCTACGTCACTCACATTGGCTTGTATAACAAATGGCTTCATTGGGTCAGGTTGCTTCAAAACTGGCTTGGCTGCGAACAAGCACTTGAGCTTCTCAAATGCAGCTTGGCATTCCATGCGGCTGACTAGGTTTGGGTTTGTCTCCCCTTTTGTCTTAAATAAGTTTGTGATGGGGAGAACTATCTGGGCGAATGAAGGGATAAATTGCTGGTAAAAAATTGCTTCCTAATGTGGAGTGGTGCTTAATCCAACAAAGCTCTGACTTTTTAAGGGTCCATCTCAGTTCCTTCATGTGAGATGCAGTAGCCAAGGTAGTCTATGTTACTTTGGTGGAATTCGCATTTGGAAAGTTTGGCATACAGCTTGACAGCTCATAGTTTTTAGAGAACCACCTTCACAAGCTTCAGATGCTCCGCTTTAGTTTTAGTGTAGATTAAAATGTCGTCCAAATACACAAGTGCTCCTTTGTACAGATGCAGGACCTCATTGATCAATTGCATAAATACAGCTGGGGCTCCCTGCAGTCCAAATGGCAGTACTTTGAATTGGAAACAACCCAGCGGGCAATTGAAAGCAGTTTTCCATTCATCCCCCTCCTTGATTCTCACGCGATAATATGCCTCCTGCAAATCCAGTTTAATAAATATTTTTCCTTTGGCAAGATGGGCCAGCATATCTTTCCTCAGAGAAAGGGGATAAACGTTCTCCCCACACACCCCGTTTAACCCTGTATAATCTATGCATAGACAAAGGGTCCCATCTTTCTTTTCCCGGAACAGGACTGGAGCCACCATCCATGGCCATGCTAGCTGAATGAAGCCTCGGGCTAGGTTTTTATCAATGAATAACCAGAGTTCTTCCAGCTCTCTGGGGGTCATTGAGTATGGCTTTGGCTTTGGCAATTTGGCACTGGGCAGGATTTCTATAGCACAGTCAGTAGGTCTATGAAGGGGAAGTTCATCTGAGCCCTTCTCGCTAAACACCTCTTGGAGGCCTCGATACTCTTTGGGGATGACAGGAAGGTCCTCCCCTTGCATGACTGCCCCTAATTCGCACTTCGGGATATTCGCTTTACTAGGTTCCTTTTGGGTTTGGGAGGCATAGTTTATCTGGAACTTTTAGCAATTCTTTTCACATAAGGGTTCCACTTTTTTAACCAAGCTAGCCCTAGAACCAGGGGTCTCTCCATCCCGGGTGCTACTATGAAGCTCATAACTTTTGAATGTGCTCCCATTTGCATTCCTATGGGTTCAGTGGCAAAAGTGGCTGGGATGTCCCGCACAACCAAATGGTCCAATTGACAAAAGGCCACTGGGACTTTTAACCGCCTCAGTCAAATTCCCGGCTTCTCGACCAGTGCTGGATTTACTAGGCATCTGGTCCATCCCGAATCTAACTGGGCTCTGAGATTAGCCGGACCCAGGGAGGCTCAGTTCTATGGGAACCGTAAAGACCATACAAGTGATAGGCGAAGCGTCTTCTGTGTGATGGGCCACCAGCCTTCCATGCATTTCAGAGCCACAAAGCTCATTGATGTGTCGGGGTTGCCTTGGGTTGCCTTTTTCTGCCAAAATGATTGGATTCTATTCATCTCTTTCTTGTAGATAAGAACCTGCAATTTGTGTTCATGGCAATGGACAACGAAGGTTTTGAATGAGGAAATCAGCCTAACTGAAACCAGTTGCTCCTCAGGGAACACCAGTTGCTCTGCCCTCTGATTCCCAAGGAGATTCTGCCCAAGATGGCGGGTCAGCAGGAGGAAACGGAGCCCCTCAAGATCCCTCTGGAGCCTTTCACCAAGAAGTACTCCAGCAAGACCTACCATAGCACTGGGCATTCCCAGACACTGCTGAGTGGCCTGGGGGCTCTCCGGGACCGCGGCATCCTCTTTGATGTTGTTCTGCATGTAGAGGGGAAGACCATTGATGCTCATCGCATCCTCCTAGCAGCATCGTGTGATTACTTCAGGTCTGTGCCTGTAACAAAATTAAAATCTGAAATTGCTGGATACTGAGCAGCGGAAAAGTAAAACCCAGCTGTTTGAACTGGCAAACTCTGACTTTTGCATGCTTGATGATTAAGCAAAGCTGCATCTAATTTAATCATTAGATTTAATCAAATTTAATCAAACCAAATTTAGCATTTGTCT